TACTGAAGGGAATCAGTTTTAGTTTTAAAGATAATTTGTAATAGTTGATATATTTGATCCTGAAAGTTGCAATAGACGCTTAGGGGAGGGAGTCGAAGAATCAAGCTGGATACGCATCAAAGGTCGAGGAATCGTCATTGATGATCATTCATCTCCAACTCTTTCTTTTTGTACAGGCTACCATGAAAATGGCTAGCTAAACTCCCTCTCTTTCTAGGGATTGGAATACTCTACCGAAATCGTATATATATTTACCAATTATACTTTTAATATAAGCATGTTGTTATGATTATCGATTCTATCTTGTTTTCATCAATTAAATCTTATGAATTTAAATGTTAATGAAAACTACATTTGGAATCATGAATCAAAGATAATGAATCACTTAAACACTAATTGCTAGACATAGAATTAGGTTTAAGATCCATTTGAATACTTGAGATTAAATACCATTGGTTCGATTAATCAGTTGAGACATCATCAATTAAGCGCACTGAGGGAAATCTTGAAACTTCATGTAGACATACATGTTGTTTTTGGAAAGTATTTGGAGATAAGAATAAAAACATGGTTATTGATGTTATGCAGAATTAATCGGTATATCGCATACGTGAACGGTAGAGGAAATCCAAACCCTACAAGATCACTCTTTATTTTAAACTTTCGTTAACGTTATCTCGTTTAAATTATGTTTAGTTAATTTTATCAAATCAATCTTGTTAGAAACCTTAACTTAAGAAGATATCAATAATCTAATCACTAGTAATATCGCTCCAGTCTCTGTGGATACGATAACAAAATACTTTCTTTTAATTTAGTCAACATTAAGCACTGACCCTCGCGGGGAGGAGTCCGATTTCACTTCTTGGTCACCATGGGATGTTGCCTCTCTAACGGCGGACGACAATTCGGTTGTCGCTGAGATGGACTTTGGGACTCATAATGTTAGCGTTTTCGCGGGGGAGTGAGCGAACGGGGGTCCTTCTCTAGCGCTCTGATCCTTTCATTTTGGTGGTGGATCAGTGTGTCTGTCTAGTTGATTGTCGTGAATAGAGCCACCATTGTCGGGTCAGTGTTGGGGGTATCATAATCGGTTGAAACGTCTCTGACGCCTCCTTTAGGGTCTCTTGATTTTTACAGGGTTTGACGTACATGGAGAGATCTTCGGCTGCATCGTCAGAGATGGGGGAAGCGATGCGTCAGTCCCTCATTGTTGGGGTGATATCTTCCAAAATTGGGATCTCGTTGCCATTGTCGTTAGAACCAGTCATGATCGGTGTTTGAGTTTTTATTTTGATCTTCTGTTCAAGGAAAGGAAGATGGGGAAATAAAGCTCCCTACAAACGGCGTCACTGATCTTATTGGTGATTAAAAAGAGGAGTGGTTGATCCAAATGTCAGTTATTCTGAGTGTCCCACGGAGAGAGGGTTGTACCTGCAACGCACTCCAATACTGAAGTCAGAAAGAGTGAGAGATAAGTGAGAGAGTTAGAGATTTGAAAATAGCATACTCGACCGTCTAGTAATGGAGGATATTTATATAGCCCCCAGCGCTGGATCAATAGTCTCCATTATAGGCTAGGTATCTAGGCCTATAATAGATGTCTGCTAGGATTCCCACGTGATAGTGGGGATGAGCAACATGTGCTCATCATCCTGAGTCAACTGCTCTGAATTTTACAGATAGTAGATTGAATACGTTTGTTACGAAGGGCACAACGGTTCCTTCAGTTATGCGAAGCGTGCAGAGTAAGTTGGTGACGTTTTCTCAGATGAGGGCCACGTGAAGAATATGTCTTCATATTAGGGTCCAATAGATTAGAACATCATTTAGATCATCCTCAACGTATGAATGAGTTTGACTGTGTCCAACAGTAGATCAACCATAGACCCAATTTAAAATAGTTATTTGGTTATTTTCACTTATATTGGGTGAGATAAGAAATTCTCAATATATTCTTATGAAAAGCCTTTTATTTGGTTTATTGGCCCACATCATATACCTTAGAAATAGAATCAAAGGTTACATTCGCCAAATGCTTAGGGTTCAAGACCTTAGTCAAAGAATGGCCAGTCAACATTCATCACAAAATCAAAAATAAGAAAATAGAAAAATGAATGATAAAAATTGTTCACGGACCATAATTCATCAACAATTATAAAGGACTAATGTACTATCATTACTAAAAACAATATGATGCAAAATTGAAAAGTACCATTGTAACATCATCCATACAACAAGTCACGTACATGTGTAGTGGTACAGATCATGAGAGCACATGTGAAGCCTTGACGTGGCGTGTCAGTTCTAAGTCAGTCAAGATTCTTTTTAAGTAAAAAATGTTTAATTTCTTTTATAAATTTATTTAGTTAAAAAATCTAAACTTCATGCCATAAAAAAGTTTTTTAAATCTATCAAACTGGTCTATTAAAAATGAATCATTTTATTATTATAATTTTATTATATATTATACTTTAAATTAAAATACAAAAATAAAATTTAATTATTTTAAAAAACATACGAAAATTGATTATTTTATAAATTATGTTAAAGTTGTTTTTATAAAAAAATTTATATAAATGATTTCACAAATTTTATGCATTTAAATAAATTAATATAATCAAAATTTTAATATTATCAATCTTTTAGTTTTTTAATATATACGGTATAAACATTAATTAAATTATAATTCAAATGAGATGGATTTTTAAATAGATTAACATATCTATCAAATATTTAAAAAAGTCAGACTCAAGACTAAAATTAAATCTATGAAAATAAAATAATTTTAATCTTATTTTGACATTAAGATTATAAAACATTAAAGTATAAAAGTTTTCAACAAAAGAATTCATTAAGATTAAAATCTTATTTTAATATTATAATCTTATTTTGACAGTAAGATTTATTTTAATAAAAACATACACAATATTTTAATGATTGAATAAAGAATTTTATAAAATAACTATGCACGTATTTTTAGGACCAGTTTGTTTTGACTTTTCTTTAAAATAATTTCTATGATATTATATAATTGTCTGAAAAAACATTTATAAATAAATTTTTCATAAAAATTTCAATTAAAATTTTGAATAGTTATTTTTAAAATATTATTTTAAGTATTTCATTTTTTCATTGAAGTTTTTTTTAAATATTAAAATTTTAAAAAATCATTTAATTTTAAAATTATTTCAATGAATTTAAAGTGGATGTGAAATTCTTCATTTGAACGACTTTACACAAGTCATTCTCTATGAGATCGATGTTGTGTCATCATGATGTGCTCCAGATAAATCAGTCTTAAGATGCAATTAAGACGTTGATACGACTCTACGGTACTAAACGACTAAATTTGCTACTCACTTTTAGAAATCTATTGATTTTTTGAACTCATTATTTTTTTATATGAATAGATAAGACATGACATCAATTGTAACTATTTTTTCTTATTATTTGTTGGTGGTTGTGACGTACTATAAATAAATTGTCTTACTAATGAAGTGGTATTTTTCTATACTTTAAAACCAGTAAATTGTACTGATCTATTAATTAAATATTTTCTCAAACATAATTTGTCTCATCTAATTAGAACTATCGCGTGGAATGACACAGATAATATAATTTTGAATTATAATTATAACCTCAATATTCTAACGTCTTAGATTTTGATTCGAAATATTAATGGTGCTTAAGTTCATGGTTGATATCACTATGTCGTGATTTTTACAACATTAAAGAAATTCTCACTAGAGAATTCTCAATAGAGAATTGCGAGTTCAAATATTTCACTTAAGAAAAATATCTTTGTTGACTATCTAATAAAATTATGAAACTTTACGGAACTCCCTAGTAAGTGATACTATAGATAATTTCTTGTTTGTTATTTCATGGAATGTCTTATTTAAATTCGTATGATTGTATTCCTAATCTTTAATCGTTTTTTACGTCGCTTAGTTTTTAAATCGTGTTTTATATCATATTTGTTTAATTCACGATTGTATTAATCCGTTTGCTTAATTCAAAATGAAAATTCAATCTATTTTATATCTATTGCGCTTGTCAATTGATAGTCAATTAGTATTGAAATCGAATAGAGATCGAAGCCGCTTAGGGAATTGGTAAAGTAAAAATCAATGATTAACAGGAACTTGAAAATAGTAGATCGACTTATTTTTATAATCACTTATTTCACTTATTTGCCTAGCTCTTTAAAAATTGATCCTAAATTAAATTTCCCACAATCACTTATGTCGGTTATTGATCCGACAGAGGTTAAAAAAAAATAGAAATTATACTACTGCGTGAAACTTGGATGGAAAGTTTGAATGAGGTGGATTAGAAAAGCACAGATACAATTGCGAAAAGAAGCCGGACCAAACTTCTACGACTAATCATATATTGCAAACATTTTGGAGTCTGGAAGGGTTTAAAATTGGTTGAGCTTAAGGTTTTTAAAAGGTGATGAACTTGACCCTGAGTTTAAAAGGAGACATTGTGAGGAAAAGCGTTTCAGTTTAGGTTGGCAGAAATAATGAACTAGTTTAAACTTTAACATTAATTGCGTTTCAGTGGGTTTGCAAATTTCATTTGAATTTACTAGATTTTTAACACTACTTGTAACTTGTAAAGGTAATTGTGGAGTTTGGTTAAAAGTATTAAAACTTAAGTTTTGTTTGCAGAAGATTGGCAGGATGAGGATTCATCATATCTACCAAATAGCATGCAAGGTTTTATGATGCTTTAGATTATATTAGTTTGGGTTGAAGATTTAATATCCTTCAAACAACCCCAAAAAAGTGTTAATGCTGAGTAGAGAAATTTGAAAGCAACACAAAGGAAACTAAAATTGCTTGATAAGAGAGGGAACAATTGTTAGGTGCCAAAATAAGCAAATAATAATATCAAGCATTATAGGGTATCTTTATAAATACTAAACTGTTTATCAAAAATCATTCTACTATGAAGAACATAACAACGGATTCCAGCACAAGTCAGACTCATTACTGCTGAGCACATTGAACTCTCTGAGCACCACCAGGCATATCATCATCCTCGTCATAAGACTCCTGCGGAGATTGCTTCTTCCTCCTTGACTCTTCATCCATGTTGACATCATGAAGTGTTGTCTCCTCACACTCATCTATCTCCATGTCTGTCAACTGTGATACAGGTCGTGCTGGCAGTATTGTCTCCAAAGCCTTGACCTGATCTAGAGTCAGAGACTCTGGAAATTCCACAGTGAAGTGAATGTAAAGCTTGCCCTTCATGAATGGTCTCTGGTACATTGGCATTCCTTCATCATTAATTGCCTTATAAGAATCTGCATAGCCAAAAGATTGAAAAATCGATTGTTACCACAGCCAAACAAAACATCAATCACCCAACAATAATTTGACAATGTAGTTAACAAGATGTCAATAATCTACATACCAGGCTTGACAACTTCTCCAGGATTTGATTTAATCAAGAGTTGACGACCATCCAAATGAGTCAGGGCAAACTGGAAACCACATAAAGCTTCAGTGAGGGACAGACTGTGTTCTACAAACAGATCTTCACCATTTCTTTTGAACTTGGGATTCTCCTTCTGTTGAAGCACAAATACTATGTCTCCAGTAACTGTATCCGGCTGCAAAAAACATGAAAACTTCAAATCAGTATCTAGATTAGGTAATCCAACTTAAAATCAAGAACAAACAGTACATTGATCCTTCACATACCGCTTCATCAGCTTCACCAGGGAAGGTAATCTTCTGCCCATTCTGCATTCCCTTTTCAACATGAACTTCAAGTACTTTCTTATGTTGAACAACCTTCTCTCCCTTGCACTGTGGGCATCGATCTTTGTCAGAAATTGTCTCTCCAGTACCCTTACAGTCATTACAAGGATGTTGCATTTGTTGAATCATATTAGCACCGAGATGCCTCATAGAAACCTTCATACCACTTCCTTGACAACCAGAACATTGCATGGAAGCCCCAGACTTAGACCCTTTCCTATAATCAAACCAAGCAACAACGTAAGTTATTATCAAATCAAAATCATTATAAAAGACCATCAAACAAATAAACATAACATTATACTCACCCATTGCACTTCGAACACAGAACATTTCTCGAGAGAGAAAGCTTCTTAGATGTCCCAAGGTAAAGATCCTCCAAAGAGACCTTCAAGGGGTGAACAACATCTTCACCACGTCTCTGCCTTCTAACTCTACTACCACCACCTGTTCACAAACACAATATTTTCTTTTAACACAAAATCGTAAATATAATTAAACAAATCCTAAATTTCCTTAACTAAAATACAAAAAGAAACCATACCTGGAAATCCTCCACCACCAAAGAAAGACGAAAAGATATCAAATGGATCATGGCCTCCACCACCACTCATTCCTTCCTTCAGCGCATCTTCACCATATTGATCATATATCTCACGCTTCTCTGGATCACTCAAAACCTCATAAGCTTGTGCAAGCTCTTTGAACTACATCAAACAATCAAATCAAATCAAACACATCAAAACCTAGTTTCATCACAGAACTAACAAAAAAATAGTTTTTTTACATCAAATTCCAATCTACAATAACCCAAACCCTAAATCAATCACACTATCCCAAAATTAACTTACAACAATCAATCTCAAAATCAGATGCAATTCAGAGAAATCAATTCATCAAATACATAATTAACAAATAAAATACCTTTTCAGGATCACCACCCTTATCAGGATGATTCTTGATAGCAGCTTTCTTGTACGCCTTCTTCAAATCATCAGGAGAAGCGCTCTTCGAAACGCCGAGAATCTCATAATACTTTGTGTTATCACTTTTCTTCGGTGCACCTCTTCCAAACATCTTAATCTTCTGTGAATTTCACACCCAAATTCAATCGAAACCTAACCCTAATTTTGGAAGATCTCAACGGAATTGTAGAGTTGAAGTTGTACAATGCCATAGTGAGTTCTTTGTGTCGTCTTTATATAGGCCTTTACTTTATTTAATGTACGGCTGAGATTTAATCTTAGATTTGATTTATGTTATACAGAAGGATCTAGAATTTATTTTACACAACTAGTTATGAAAATTTTGAACCGTTGGATCTGCTTTTCATATTCTAGATCCTTCCTCACACGTTTTTATTTAATTTTTTTTTTCGGAATTCTGTTTTCAGATTCTGGTAATCAGGATATATATTTGATTGAGATTTTAAAAGATTAGATCGATGAAATATAATCTTTGATTTTGAATATTTATATAAAAATTGGTTCAGATTTAAAGAAAATAAAATTTACTTTTTAAGTGTTTAAATTTGGCAAAAACAATTAAATTTTAAGGCTGAATTAAAGAAAATAATAATAATGTAAATTTAGTTTTATATCTTTTCATAAATTGTTTCTTATATGAAGTTATATCAATCTTTCGTAAATTAATACTATCTTTTTGTTCTTACTCTTTGATTTCAATATAAATTTAATAAATTCGTAATAATTTTTTAAATACTTTTATAATTAAGATTTACTAGTTTTCTGTTTCTACATATTATTTAAAAACCATGTAAATCTAAAAATTTAAAATTTTGTTTTGAGTTTTAGTAGGAAATTATTCTGAAACTATTTAAAATTTTGTTTTGTTTTGAGTTATAGTAGGAAATTATTCTGAAACTAAGAAGAAAAAAATCAAATCAAATTTATTTTTCTTGAACAAATATATCTATAACTTAATAATAGAACGAGACATCAAATAAATGAGACTTTATTGGATGAACTACTTATTATTAATCGAAGCATATGAATAAGCAATTAAATTGGATAACTCTATTTAATAAATTGTTGCCTATAATAAAATTATATAATTATTAAATTGATTTAATCAGGTCACTTTATCTCTAAAAATAATCACAACACTTATAAAATTATAAAATATCAAAATTTTATAATTTTATTATTTAAATTTAAATTTTAAATATTATCATTACATAACAAAATAGTATAAAATACAAATTCAAATAAGTTTTGAAGAAAAAAAATTAATTACAATATAAACTAAATAACAAGATTATTGTAGTTTCTAATAAATTTAATTCTAATGAGAGAAACTTGTTTCGAATAAATTTTGAACAACGTCCACCTATATTTTAATTTTACTTTTTTAAATAAATATTAAAACGGTTTTATTTTGTATAAGAAAAAAATATGTATTTAGCCTGGAGATTTTATAAATCGATATGTCCGAATTTTAGCGATTCTGTTTGATAACTATTGGTTGAATAACTTACCTGATTCAACAATAATCAAAATAAACGAATGGCCTCTTTAATTTCCAATTCGACCTGTCAGGTTGGTCCAGTTTTTAAAATTATGTCTTAAGTACATTTTTAATCCTATTTTTAGTTGTACATTTAACACCTAATTTCAAGAAGAAGGAGAATGGAGTATTTCTTTTCATTGCGAAAACATTTCTCAAAAATGAAATTTGCACATATGGTCACATATATGGTCAACCACTATTATATTTAAGTTACCATAATATTATTGCAAATCTTATGAATTATATGGGAACATATAAACACATTATCTTATTCATTTTATTTTTAAAAGGACATTCTTGAGGTGAGTCATTCTACTGAATAAAATAGGACACCTGAAAAGTCTAATATGTAAAAAAAATTATATTTTTTATTATTATATAAGATTCACTCATAAAGGAATTGTATAGACTGAATTGTAACTAAATTACTAACCATATGTCAAACAATTATGCTACAAAATTTCAAAACTATAGTTGAGCTTGCAGTTTAATTTTATCTGCTTTACCACTACTGAAAAGATTCAAATCAATCGTGCTAAACTTTGTCTAGCTTCTAATGGTTAAATTTTCATTTCTAAAAAATATTTGTAACTAAAGTTATAAACAAATCACTAACGGGTTATCCTAATCACAAGTTGCAGAATTTTCATACAACTCTTTTCTCACTAATCTCATATAGTTTCTACATCTTTAAGTCCTAAAGGACCCTTTAACCTTTCATAAACAACTAACATACATACATAATTATTAAAATACATCGTACACATCAACTTTATATTTCATTCTCTATTGTTAAAAATATCCAAAATGTAATGTGTGTATTCTTCATGAAAAAAAAACATTCTAACATTGTTATACATGCATCATGATTGAATCATAAATGAAACCCTAACTCTTATTTTACAGACTCTAATCCCAAAATAATGAGGAACGAATAAGGGAAACTCACCTTAACACATAAGGACGATGATGTTTCCCCCCTTTCCTTTCTTATCCAACTCCAATTAAATGATTAATGATTCACCCCTTAATTTATTCCATAAATTCCCCAAGCAAGTGATCATTTGCAGGCGGTGGCTTGATAATTAATAATTCCTTTTAAAGTTGATTTCCTCTCTTTTTTCAAGGATAAAATATGATGGTTAGAAGAGGGGAATATAAATTAGGAATACAAGAGGTGGGAAAAGAACTTCTCTTGCATGAATTCAACATGAAGTTGAGTTTCCCTCAATGCATGCAGAGTTTCTTGTGTTGCTTTTTCTCCTTCCCCTTCTTCAAAAATGTGAAACACTTATTTTACAATCCTAATTCTGAAAAATTCAAGTTTCTTCAATTTGAAGAACCTTTGAATTTTCATCAATTTCTTTTGGTTCTTGAGCATTTATGTTTCCACTTTCTATGTATTCAATTTACAGAACCATTACCTACACAAATCACTAATCAAAATAGTTAAGATTGGGTTCATTTTTTAACTTGATTTTTGAAAGTTGCTTGGATCTTGAATTTGAGTAGATGAGGTTGCAAGGATTCTGAATCTACAAATATTTTTGAACTGGAAGACTTGATGGACCTTTGTCGGAGCTTGATCAGAGAGCCAGCACATTCATCATTATTGTTAGAGTGTTCTTAAGCAAATCGGTTCAAGTAAGCCTTAATTGATGTAGTTTAGTGATTTCTTTGCATGGTTGAATTTATGCACTTATTTTGATCATTATCCATCATTTAATTTCATGTTTTTTGTGTTAATTTGAGATTTTAGAATTTATGGACGCATGGTGTTCATGAGTTGTTCATGAACACTCATGAACATCATTGATAAAAAATGCAATTTCTTCAAATCTCAACCATTTTGCACAAACTAATATACCATTTGAACTAATTTTTCATGGGGAACTCAAATCTACAATTAGTTACACATTTTGATCATTAATTTGATCGAATCTAAGGAAATACCCAACATTTTTTCTCTTTTTGGTTAAGTTCATGATGATTTCGTGATTTTCATGTTATTTTATTGGTACCATTGAATTTGTCTCGTTTCATTGATCAATTTGGTATATTCATTTGCTTAGTTTGGGGTTGATTTGTATTTTTATGATAAATTCTTAACTTCCTTTAACCATGTTGGTGAACACATTTTTGCTCCATGAAAGAGATGGTGAACAATGTATTTTTCTAGATTTCACACCACTGCTAGATCAATCGCGTGGTGATTGAGAGTTTCTGCCCAGATCCAATCTGGACCACGTGATTAATCTTTCCCATTTGTTTAAAGCAGCGCACGAATATGGTGGGGACTTGTACATACGCCCCACCTTGCACCCTCAAGGCAAAAATGTTAGATCATTAGTGATTAGATCAAAAGACCCATATTTCCCCCTTGTTTTTTTTGTTTGGTCCGCCTTGGGCCTCTAGGTCTTGGGCTTGGACCTTTTTCTTCTTTCACCCCCATTTTTTCTTATTGTCTTAGTTTTTTTTGTTTTTATTTTTTGTTTTGCTATTTTTGTGGGGGAGAGTTGTAACATCCTGATTTTTATTATTTATTTAATTATTATGTGGTACGATAATTCTTTAATTATTTGAATATATGTGTTATTTGAATAATTGGGTTTATGAGTAAGAATAAAAATTAATTAGGATTGAGCTTTATGTCACAATAGAATGAGTAAATGAGTTAGGCTCATTAATAAAATAGAGTAGTAAGAAGAGGAATTAGAGAATTAGAGTTAGTATTGGAAAATATAACAAAAGAAGAGAAGAGAAGAGAAGAGAAGAGAAGAGGAAAAAAAGAGAAAATGAGAGAAGAATGAGGAAGAACTCTAAGGTGGCTACAATCAAGGTAAGGGAGGAGAATCCTTGTTACTATGGGTTTGTATATGATTAGGTGATGATTAGTAACATGAACTAGGATTGGATATTTCAATTTTTAGGTTTTTGATTCACTTAGGTTGAAATTAGAATCCCAAATTGATATTTGGAAATCATGTTTTTATGTTATAAATAGTTGCTATGTGATAGATACATGCTAGAATACATTTATTTGGTGAAAATGGACACTAAAACAGGGTCTAAGTTGGATTTTCATGATTGGACCGAAGTTGTTCGCAGCAGATTTTTCTATATAATATGAAGGGCGCTTAGCGCGGGTGAGGGCGCTTAGTGTGGGTGCCTGGGATCATAATTTCTGATTTTGCATGAATGACTTAGGGGTTTGTATGCTTATGATTTATCATTAGTTTACATGAATTTTAATAATTTATTCGATATATTTTGGATTGGTTTTGAATGAGTTTTGATGAGAAATACGATACTTGATTTTAGTATATATGTTGTGTTTTGGTGGTGATTGAAAATAACATTGGTTGGCTTATATGCTATATGTTAATTGTGAGTTGTAATGATGATTAACGCTATGCAAAAGCATTGTTAATGACGATTATATGATACATAATGTTTCGTGTAATTGTTGGTGGATAATTAAATGTATTGAATTATTGTCATATGCTTGGATAATTAAGATTGTGAAATGGTCTTAATTGCATATGCTT